TCAGCCAAGACACCGTACGATAGTGAAGCTTGGGCAGTACTAATTACCTAGCAGCTTAGCAGTGATGTAATCATAATTATTGTGACAGTGTTGACTGTTGCAGTGATGTAATGTATGACATCACTGCTAGGCACGTAGTAGACTGTAGTGTATGTAGTCAGCCTAAGCTATAAGGTGTTAGCTATGATATGGCATCGTGTGAGTACCTGGTGCAAACCCCTGCAGCCTGCAGGAGATCCTAGTACTTGCCAATGAATTATTAAGCGCATGGCTCTCCTGTCTATACTTGAAAGCTGAGGCATGAAGTTCTTAGATCACAAGCGTGAAGGTGATGTGACGGTGCATTGTTGCTGCTGCTGCTGCTGCTGTGTGACTGTACTGTTCCCAGACTATTCAAACATGCCAGTCAAAGATGGCTTGCTTCACAAACATCAGCGACATGCTGACCGACCAGCTGAAACTCAGCGAGAAGCTTATACAGCCGTCGATCAAGCACAACGAGCGATCAGAGTAAGCTAGCCGCTAGTTCGTTCACCACTCACGGCATGTCGTCTAACTGTTATTGTATATGCATACCCTGCTGCTACCCTGTCTTGTTACCCATCACATCACAGGCACACGCTCTGTCTAATTCTACATCAAAACTATGGAAAACCAATTTCTTTCTAGTTTCTCTGCAACAATGAATTTCATACTAGATTATTTTCCAGCCCGGATACCGGTAGGGTGCCATATGTCCCATACCGAAGTTTGGAAAAAAAATCTGACTTCTTTGGAACAACGGAGAGCTGAAATACTGAAATTTCCCCATCTACTCCCATACAAAGTCTATCTCTCTGATGTCATAAATCCGGCCTAGTCTGGGCAAGTTAACGACGTCATCATGATGTCACCAAATTTAGTGCAAACTTCAAGCTGGTGTTATCGTATAACTGTGGAACGGCTGCTCCGATCAACCTGGGACCTTAACCATTGGAATCAGTGCATATTTCGCTACAGGTTGTGAAGTTTTCAGTTCAGGGTGAACTTCCCCTTTAATGATAGCTTGCATAGACCTCGGTCCTACCGGTAGGACCTACCGGTAGGACCATCATACACAGACATGCTGCATAGCCTCTGTTCTAACATTGACCTAAAACTTGACCCTAAACTGTTGCTCAGGGGCTAATGAAGGAGTCCACAAATTTTAGACGTGATCGCACAAGGCATTCTACGAAATTCCATGGTAACAGCCCATGGTAACCATGGAAACTGAGTATGGAATTATGCTTTCCACTGCCTTGGCAAGCTAATAAAAACATTAGGACCTCACCATGATTGATGTGCCATGGTCAAAATTCACTTTGGAAAGAGTTGCTAGCGCACCGACAGGATTATGTGCGGCCATTTTGACAATCGATAAAATTGCGCATACGCAATGCACTGGACATAGCCTTGCATTTTGCGCCATTACTTTGCCTGACAAAGACCTCATCTCAACAATTGTTTCAAGAAATTTCTCAACCAAAAGCACTTTTGCAGCTCGATTTCTTGGGTCCTACCGGTACGACCCGTGGTCCTACCGGTAGGACAGCATGCAAGCTATCATTAATGAGTACGTGTACAGGATGAGTCAGCAAACCGTAGTCCAGAAATGGTTTACGGCACTGCCACTGTTCTCTCCACTGATGTGCTGGTGTAACGGCGTAACCAAGGTAACTGCAGTACACACTGTAGAATGAAACCACAGGGCATCATCGCCAGTCATCCTTGGTCATCATGATTCACTGCCGGTCATCTTCACTCATCGTCAGCGACTTGCTACCGTATTTTCCGGAGTATACGCCGCACTTTTAACACTCAAAATTTACCCCAAAAGGGGGTGTGGCTTGTACTGCGACGATCAAATTAACGGTGATAAATAGGATAGATGTCTGTATTTCGTGGCAAAAAAATAGGTGGGGGGGGGGGGGTGTGCGGCTTATACTCCAGTGCGGCTTATACTCCAGTGTGGCTTTTACTCCAGTGTGGCTTATAACGTTACTCCAGTGTGACTTATACTCCGGTGCGGCTTATACTCCAGTGCGACTTATGCTCCAGTGCGGCTTATGCTCCAGTGCGGCTTATACTCCAGTGTGGCTTATACTCTGAAAAATTCGGTACTCATACCACCTATGCATGCAATATAAGTACACGTGATGTATAGTCTTTGCTGCAGGTCTAGCCTATGTCTATGCACTATTTAGTGACTATGGCATATTAGCTGACATCCCTGGCTTCTGGCATTGTGTAGGTTACAGAAGAACAATGTCCTGATCAAAACCAGACTGGAGACGATTCGTCAGAGGAAACAGGAGTTCAGCACGCAGCATCAAGAGGCTATGTTAGAGAATCGACGTCTCGACCGCGTCATGAACACCCTGTCGCCGGAGATCATGTGCTTGCAGCGACGGAGGACGCAGCTGATGATGTAAGAGCTTGTTTTTGCCTTTGAGGTGGCTGTATGCGTGGCTATTCTGCCAGTGGAAGTTTGCATCTGTGTTTCCGCAGTTCTGACAACACACATGTGTGTGTGTGTGTGTGTGTGTGTGTGTGTGTGTGTGTGTGTGTGTGTGTGTGCGTGTGTGCGTGCGTGTGTGCGTGTGTGTTGGCACGTGCATAACACGTTATGTCTATGCTTTCGAACACGCCACACGGTATCCCGTGGTTTTGCTTGGTCACTGTACAGTGTACTTGTACATATTGGCTGCACTGGTACGCATGCGCTCATTTGCCTGTAAAACAGACCATGTGTGATTGCAATGATGTGATCATCATGCAGGTGGCTGGGACAGCAGAATCTCTCCAGCGAGGAGATTCACCGACGCCTGGGACAGCTGTCCAAGCAGGGTTCGGTCACAAGAGGCGACGTACACCAGCCCCACGCCGAGGATACGTCTCACCGGGACAAGTCCAAAGAGTTTGAGGAGCTCTACTACTCCACTGAGTAAGACAGTGGTTCGGGGGGGGGGGGGGGGGGTATTGACCAGCCCTACTCTCGATTACACACGTCTGCGTTTGTGTTGACCAATTCCGTTGTGCTGTAGGCGCTCGACACAGGAGTTCGAAACAGAACATTTCCAATGCATGTACTGAAATCACATGCAAGCACATACCGGTACTAGTGTGGTATGGATATTGAGTGTGGGAGCATTCAACGTATCTTTCTTTCTGCACGCGTTGCTCTGTATTCCTACAGTGACCTCCGCAAACAAATGGAGATGCACATCGCTGAGACACAGGTAAATATGCCAACGAATCAGCAGCTGCCGGCTTACACTGCTGTAGGGTGAATGCTTGTACTGTACGTGTATTACTGCAACGATGTCATAGTATGACACAAGTACATGCAGTAGCAGTGTACGTACATTATCTATCAAAATGCTGATTCCGCTATGCATGTCCGTGTGTGTGTGTGTGTGTGTGTGTGTGCGTGCGTGTGTTCATAATATGCACATGTGCTCGTTCTTCCGTACGTGGCTGTAGAGCAAGCACCGCAAGTATGACCAGAGCACATGGTTTGTTGGCAAACTGTCCAGGTGAGAAGTCACTACAGTGTACGGTGTACGGTGTGTCTGCTGAAGCCGATACTGTGCACGTGTAGATGACTGGTGTGATATTGTATGTACTTCAGAGTACATGGATCAATTGTACCACATTATTAGTACAATTGGCACGCTCAGTTAGCTAGCGCTAATATGTAGTCGGTAGCGCTAATATGTAGTCTGTAGCGCTAATGTGTAGTCTGTAGCGCTAATATGTAGTCTGTACATAAGGCACTTCCTGATGTGCGTTGGGTCATTCTATCCAAGTTTGTGGAACATAACAGATGTAGACCTACTTAGTGGTGCTGCTGTACTGGTGAACAATGTACAGCATTGCGACCGGCATAGTGTCTGATAACACATCACCGAGCTCAGCCCAATGAGATGTGCACTGAGCAGATCAGTACAGTAGGTGGAACACTCACTAACCCGCAATCATTGTAACTATACAGCATGCATATTTGATGTAGATAATCAAGTGAGGTATCCGTGCAGAGGACTGATTACTGTGATTAGTCATCAAGCCCGACTGTACCTCGCTTGAATATGCTCCGGACGATCCTTCAATTTTTTTGATTTTGAATTGCTTATTTCTTGGGTGATCTCGAGTGTGGAGTCAATTTGTACATACCGTGTCGGTTGTTGGTGAATTGGGATTTCAGAGCAGCCTGAAATCTGAAGGTGCCGTGGATTATTTCCACCTGCATCGCCTGCTTTCAGCATTGTGTTTCGCTTTCCTTGCGCGTGCTCTTGTAGAGAGGAGTCTTATCAGCTGCTGAGCAAGGGCAAGCGAGATGGCACATTCCTTGTGCGCTCACGTGACCCGAAGCAGGGCGACCGACACACGCACACCATTGACATATTGTAAGTGCTACAGCCAGTGAACTCCTTTCCAGTTGTACCCACATACATACATACATACATACATACATACATACATACATACATACATACATACATACATACATACATACATACATACATACATACATACATACATACATACATGTCTATACATATCTATACATATCTGCTGTCCGCAGATTGAGTACATACATACATGTACTGACTGTGAACACTTGCTAACATGGGTGCTCTACCACAGCGGAGTCCACTCGCGATGTGCAGTGCCCATGATGAGCTGCTCATTTCCCAGTGTTCATGTGGTGCTTGCACGGCAGCATGTAGATTCAGTGGTGCTCTTCTTACACAGCAAGACATGCTGCTGTGAGTAGACACATGGTACATGGTACATGTGATATGTGCCTTTTGTCACCATTGCTGTTCTGTCCTATTTAGCTCATAGTTGCACAAATGAATGAGGCTTACAAAAAATTCGTGTCATTGGCTGAAATAGATGCTGTGTGCAGCACTAGGGGCACATGTGCACACAGCGACTCAGTGTTACCTGCTCTCTTGTCTCCACGGTGTGGTGTGCACAGCTACAAATCCATGAAACATATCAAGATCTACCATCAAGAGGACGTTGGCTACGGCTTTTCCGAGCCGTTCCGCTTCCCGACCTTGATGGACCTTGTCTTGAACTACAGCGAAGAGCAACTGGCTCGGCATAATTCTGAGCTGCCCACAACTCTTGCATATCCTATCTATGGCAAGTAATAGCCGGCGAATCCCTTGGCTGGTCGTCAGGATTTGCTTTTAGTTTTTTTTTTAGATAAATCTGTAGATGCTTTCTCTCTCTCTCTCTCTTTCTCTCTCTCTCTCTCTCTCTCTCTCTCTCTCTCTCTCTCTCTCTCTCTCTCTCTCTCTCTCTTTCTCTCTCTCTCTCTCTCTCTCTATCTCTCTATCTCTCTCTCTCTCTCTCTCTCTCTCTCTCTCTCTCTCTCTCTCTCTCTCTCTCTCTCTCTCTCTCTCTCTCTCTCTCTCTCTCTCTCTCTCTCTCTCTTCGTAGTGAGAAAGTGCAAGTGTGCATGTTGAACACCTTTTTTTAATTATGTTGCTGTGGTCTGCAATGCCACAGTAGCTAGCTCGACTTTTCTTTCTTCTCTTCCTCTCTCTCTCTCTCTCTCTCTCTTTCTCTTGCCACAATCTAATGTCGTGTTTGCCAGCCAATGGTTGAAAAGGACGTTGAGTGCATCATGGTGTTCAGTAGATGCATCAAATTTCTCTCTATTTTTTAAGGTATTTGAATATTTACTATTACAGTCTGTATCGGCTATAGCGTACCCTTTTGATTTCCGTGATTTTATCACTATAACCGATGCATCACTATATGCGATACGATCGATTTTTTTCGAGCGACACATGAAAGGGAAGGACATACTTCCAGCATGGCGTTTTGACAAATGAGCATGCTGCATAGTTGACAGTGCCCGCATTTCCATAAAAAATTCTGTTTTGTACATGTACATGTGTCACTATCAAAATAAGCAACGTGAAGAAAGTAAAAAATAAGGCCTTTGATATTATTGCTACATGTATTTTAAAGTTATCACTATAGCCGATAATAATATAGTGTGTTATGCATGTTTTGATTTTATGTTGCCATCATAATATCCGATATATCATTACATCCGATAATATTGGTTATAGTGATATTTGTACAGGATAAAATACGTTTTGCTTTTGATATTTCGTACCAATATCACTGTAGCCGATATATTCTTATATCCGGTCACTCTATAGCCGATACAGACTGTATCTTTCTCTTCGGAGAGTGCTGGCTCGCACTGGTTTGCACAAGTTGCACATAATTTCAAATGGAAGTGTAGTTTAATTTTTTAAGCAGAGTGCAAATTGCAATGTGCAGACCTGAACATTGTTTTGAAAATGCAACGGTAGGACTGAGAAACTAATACTTACCTTTAATGACTCATCACTTTTAAAAAAGCATCATTTTACACATACGTTTTACTCTCATAACTTTCCGGCTACTTTCGAAGTCTCCCGTTCCTGCATCATAATATTCTAAAGAAAGCCAGATGTACTTTCACTCATAAGCCTTCATTTCGCACTCTTCTTGCCCTCATTATGAATATCTGTAGTACACTCAAACGCCTCTTATCCGGACGCCTCAGATACGGGCACGTCTCTCTACCGGGCACCTTCAGCTTGAGGGCCTATAGCACAAATGAGTCGAATTTGGGGTTTTTGAACTTTTTTCCGTGTGTGGAAGTGCTTATGTTTCACTGCTAACCTATGTAATCCACACATTTTTATCAATGGGTTCCCTTTGTATCCTCAACATGTGCAATACGTGCCAAATAAACTTCTTCAAAAAATGATATCATACATTGGTAGGTGAGTTATCCTGAGACACGGGCAAATCTGAGATACGGGCAGTGCCCGGTCCCAAGGTGCCCGGATAAGAGACGTTCGAGCGCTCCTTCTGCTTACACAATACAAACAAAACGTACGCAAAAAGAACTGCGGATGTCCTGTACATGTGCTAAATGACTGCCAAAAACCCTACACCAGAATGACTGGCTACTACTGTACAATATATACACAGAAGCCTTGCTTGGTAGTTTAACATGTTTTTCGATTTTGACAGCATGTTACAAGGCGAGGACGCGTAGTACAGTGCTCCTGACTACAACCATAAACCTGGTTGGCAGAGTCCCGGTCTTGCGACCATTTGAACCGTATTGGGAAAACCCAGGTTCGGACCCTGTGGATGCAGATGGGGACGCTGGTCCGGACTATAGGCCATGTACTGTACTAGCGGTAGGTGGTGTTACCCTATGATAATAGACCCTTTGCGCAATAAGCGAGAGGGGTCGAGACGGGGCATGCTGTGCACGCGCTGCACACTTGGCATGCAACCAGCATGCATGGTTTTGCTGCAGGACGTGATCAAGTTTCCTGTGACAGGCTGTGTTTTCACGGTCCCGACGCGATGTTCATGTATGTACTCCCCAGCCTTTTTCATTTTCAAGTTTTTCTAGTTCTGAAGGAAGAAGTCCCGAAACGCTTTCCAAGGACCACTGTTGGGTTCTTGTTTGCAGCAACCGTCATCCCTAACGTTAGTCTAAGGAACCCACTTGTCTTTCCATGCGTTCCCTGGTGATGCTGGCATTCCACACTCTGGAATCCTGGCTATCTGGCGAGAAGAGGGCCGGGTACCGAGGGCCGCAGTGCTGCGATATCGTTTACAGTGTTGTGCTCAGAACACTTTGTCCATGACGACTTTCATCCTTGCTTTTGCGAAGATATGGAACGCCCTGCCAAGAGACTCTGGAGCTTGAGAAAAAGGCATGACCCATCCCTGTCTTCGCTATTGGAAGATCGACTGCTTGCTGGCGCTGCTCGAGCTGCTGTTGTTGAAGTGGAGAGAGACGCTGCCTCATCGCTCAGGTGTGCGGAGAAAGTCATCTGAGTTCGAGCTGTGGCTGTGTGCACGATATGACAGACTTTCACATTATGCACATAGCCACCAAAGTAAAACTCATGGACACTATCCACGGGCTTGTTCACTAGTACTACTCCATCAGCTCCCTCTTCACTGTCATCGGCGATTCGCCCCTGCGTTGGAGACGAGCAAGCATGGTGTGGCACTCACTCTGGGAAACAGAGGTTCATCACTCATCCACTGGGACGCATGAAATGTTGGGCATGATGAAGGTACACTCGAGGAAGTGGTGCCCTTCTTAGTTCTAGGAGCATCAGGGTTCTGCATGGAGAAGTGTTCTCTACATCGACAGAGGAGAGAAGGTAGAGAAAATAAAAATAAATTTCAATCTACAGTAATCCGAAATATCCACTGAATGCGGAAAACTTACCGCTCCAACAACTCCTTCGTTTTCCAGACAGATACGCACCCTTATTCAGCAGAAAACTGTTCAGTTCCTTACACAACCGATCTTCATTTGACAGTTCGTCCACGGGTTCCACAGCCATCGATGGCAAACCACTCGACACTCTCTCCTCCATCTCCAAAATGGAAAAATACAGTGTTCCACCATGCTCAACAACTGATACTCTGCACAAAAATCGAAGAGGATGCCCCGTCTCGGATCACGTGACCGTTATTGTGCAAAGGGTCTATTGCTGTCCTGTGCCCTCCCGACCTCGTGCTACTGGTGCGTTCGGGTCCCGTCATTCGCGATTTAGGTGGATCAGTTCGCATTTGGGGGGACAATGGGCCAGTTCTAATTTCTTACTTTTACGACGGAGCAGTACCAGTAAAGGTTTATCAGAACCGCTCACAGAGCGGTTTTTATATCGATAATGATGTAGTATGAAGATGCGACAAGGCAGGCACTGACATCATGGCGTGGGTGCCACTGCCCGCAACAGCACCATGCAAGCATGCAGACTGCAGTGCAGTGGGTAGGTCCACCATGTCGACTGGGTTGGCCTACATGTATACACTACGTACACTACTACAAAGACAAGACTCCAGCCATAATACTAGTCAGTTTCGATTTCGACAGCATGTTACTTATTACTTTGTTTACAAAATACAAGGCGAGGACACACAGTCAGTGCTCCTGGCTTCAACCATAATCCGGTTGGCAGAGTCCCAGTCTTGCGTTGACTTTGGAATTTTTTTGTTTTTTGCTGATGTAGTGTTGTTGTCGTTGGTGGTCAACAACAACGTTGTGTTAGCAAAAACAAAAAATTCCAAAGTCACTGACCACCCCCTAGAATAAAGAGGGTCCGAACCGGGGTTTTTCCCATACGGTTCAAAGGGTCGCAAGACCGGGACTCTGCCAACCGAGTTCAATGATGGTTGTAGTCAGGAGCACTGTATATTATAAACCATAAACCGGTTGGTAGAGTCTCGGTCTTGTGACCATTTGAACCGTACAGGGCAATGCCCCGGTATGCGGCGCTCAGACCTTCATTATTCTAGGGGGCGTAGGAAAATTCCCTGATCTAGTACTTGGGAGTTGAAATCCGGCCGTAACTATTTACAATCCCCTGACTGTGGTTGCCTCAGTGTCGTTGCTCTTTTTGGGGTCTGTAATTTCGTTGCGTCTGTGCATTTCCTGCCAACTTCTGCATATGGCGTCCTTCTCTCAGTTCGTCAGCCGCTCAACAGTAAAAATCGGTCACTACCAATGACTACTGCTGTGAGAAGGTGCTCACTGCAGACGGGGTTGGTGAAGTTCCGGTGCGGCCATGGGTAGGCCTTCACCACACCCGGCAGAAACCTTGCCTGCATGTTGGTAATGCAGAGTCGGTTGTGTGCCGTACTATCGCATGTATTCACGTCGATGATTCCACTTCTTCACTGTTTCCCAACAGTGCGCCCTCGCCTTGTTCACGCTGTCACCGTGAAAACATGTTACCTATCAGGCAAATGCTAGCATATTATACCAGTCTACAGTCAGTAGTACGGTTTGCGTCAGGATATTATCAAGACAATACAAGTCTCACCTCGACCTCATCGTCAAGCATCACTGTGACAAGTATCAGGTCCATCGTTGATCTTAGATCTAATGGCTGTTATGCCCTTGCCGGCTTGCTGTCTCAGTCATGCATGTGCATTGTCATTATTCTAACAGGGCTTGAAAGTGCTACGTCACAGCATAGCAACAATTTCAAAAATTCAAAAACTGGATCCACTTGGATCCAGTTTTTGTATGGATCCAAGCACATTTCAAGCGGTCTTACCCACAGCATGGTGATGTAGCCAGTGAAACTGACTGATTTGGCTACTGGGGGCGGGGTTACAACTGGTGGCGAAATCAGAAAAGCCACACCTGCATGCGACATGAGTGGGTTGCTATGCACCCACATACTTTCAGTCCATTCATTGGAAACTGACACCCTAACTTTTTGGTGTCTCTCTCACATAGTTGTAGATATCGCGAAAACAACAGTACATCCTGCATTGTGTGACCCGTGCAAATACTCCTTGCCACATTTGAGGCCAGAAAAGTCCAAGAACAGGGAAATAGAAATTCAGCCAGGTTTTACAAAATTAGGACAGGTATGCCATGGCAAAATGTATGGAGAAGCAGATCCAAAACCCAGATTTTTGAGATTTAAAGTGGGTTTTTGATCCTCAATTCGGCCCAAATCCGACTTTCAAAAGCCAGCGGGCCAGTTTCCGATGAATGGACTGTAGGCAATAGCAAAGTCACACCTTAGTGGATCCAAAAATAGAAATCTGATGTCAACTTACTACTCACTGGCCGTTTTGACGTCATCACTTTCAAGCCCTATGACAATGCACATGCATGATGCAGCAAGCCTGCAAGGGCTTAGACTAGAGGTACTGACTACTACTGTAGTCTACTAGCAATTAGTACTCTTGGCCTTGGCAATCGTGCTACCCGTGACTCCAGCCTGCTACCATATCCAGTAGAGAGCTAAATCACTTGTAAAAGTAAGACATGTTAGCCTCCTGTCTAGGAGATGACTGAATCAGCGACGTTCCCACCAAGGGCCCCAGCTGGGAACTATGCTCCAGTACAGAGGATATGCGAATGATCTCAGTCATGGGGGGGGGGTCAGCGGAACCGCAGTGTTCATGGTATTGGCGCTAAGTATACATGTACGGGGTGCGCCAGCGGATTCGCTTATGGGCCGCGGCCATGCGTGCAGAGTGGGTCGCTAGTGCAAGCGCAGCCGAGCGGTGTGCGGTGAGTCCACGACTTCGCCAAAGCATCTCAACTGATGGCATAATTGGATAACCTCTATAGCTATGACAGTACTGCGGCAAGAGAGGAACACTACACTGGCACATGATGTGAGTTTTCACTGTCGGCAAACCTCATACCGTAAAAGCCCCTGTATACGCCCACCCTCCGTGTACACGCCCAGTCAGGGGAAGTCAACACTTGTGTTTCAAAATAGCGCCCATGCCCATGTATACGCCCAGGGATGCCGGCAACACCAGTACATGTACAGGTACCGATACCCAATACTTACTGATATCCCTATTCCAAGTATACGCCCGGTTCCAAAATAACGCCCGTGCCCTTGTATACGCCCAGGAAATCGAGGCTGCTATTCTATACGCCCGGGGCCTATACACGGGCTTTTACGGTACCGTGGCTCGGAAAATGTATCAGGAGTTGCACACTCTCTCTCTCTCTCCGGGAAGCTTACAATCTTGCTACTGCTAAGTTGGAAGTCCCCGATGCCCCTTGAAGCACGCACCCTGCACGATTCCTAATATTTGCATTTCCCTCACCTGTCTGAGAGCCTTGGCCCTAACTTATGAGTGTGACTGACTGTACTCAGTACTACTACTTTTGAAGTACTAGGAGGATTTGTGGGTGATCCAGATGTCTGCAGCGGGGCCCAGCTAGGGTCCAACAGTTATTTTGCATTTTCACTCAGTGGGCCATTGTACAGCTCAGGTAGTCCTTCAGTCAGCCATTGTATGTTCAGGAGTGCTTCAGCCCTAACTAGTAACTAGCTTGGCCTAAGTAACTTAGTTCAGATAGCACCAGGGGGTCCTACACAAACCGTCTCGGTAGGACTCCCGAGCTCCCTGGGTAGCACTCAACATGAGGCATGACCATGATGCCCCCCCCCCCCCCCCCCCCTGGTGCTGATGGTGTGCTACCCCTGAGGTCCTGTGTGATTAGCTGCACTTCTAGAAGCACAACACCTCGAACCTTGCCGGAACACCGCTAATGCTGTGATACTGCCATCCTATCCTAGATCCTATGCCTATGGATTCTACCAATCCAGGCTAAAACTGTAAAAGTAAAAGCTCTCACAGTAGCTCCACTGGAACTAGGCAACACGGGAATATTTTGTACGTTGAAACTACAAAATCTACATGACTAGATCTGACAGATTATGAGCTTCTTGCGAACTCCTGCCGGCCATGCTGTTATGCCTCAGAACACAACTGTTACTCGAGTTGTGATTATTTTGATCATCAGCTCAGCTCACTCACTAGCATGTAAGTAATTAGTTTGTAACTGCACAGTCTGGGCATGTGACAAGTCAAGGACTTGAAAGATCAGGGACTAAAATGTAACATAATTTTTTTTCTGACACGAGTTTGAGTTTCGCCAATGCCATGGTACATGGTATGTATATGTGCGGCGCTATGGTTACATATTTATTTTAGCTGACGTTTCTCCCTCATTTGCTCTTTCCTCTTACCCTGTACATTTTTGGTAGTCTTACCTCGACTAGGCTCTAGCTCTTATACTTTATAGCTCTCTGACCTGCCTGCTGTGTGAACGACGTGGTGGATGTAAGGTCGGAAACGGGGCTCCAGCGAAGGTCAGCAGGTCGACCACCTGGTCTGCTCCACAGCGTCAGCTACACAATGTCATTGCTGCGCCAGTGCTGGCGTTGGGGTGAACTTGGGGATAGATGACTGTAAACGGCAGCTGGTTGTGAATGCTCCCAGCTTGGCCATTCTTACCTTCTTGTTGCTAGCGATTGCTACAGATCTGAGCCAAGCCAAATAGCGGGACAGAAAAGCCTAGAAGCCGGCCGTGGAGAACAAAATGACGCAAATTTAGGAGCCAACAGAGCCTTGGCTGGATCCCTGGCTCGACTACGTACCCAACCTCTCCGACAAACCATCGCGTGGTCACTTGCTGACTAACATCCGAGGTAAGTCAGTCCGGCGCAGCACGACCCCAGAAGCTACTCTTGACTTGTGCTCGGAGTCGTAGGCGGTTGCTTGAGCCCCGAAGCGCGGGGACCGCCCGTGTTTGTCGTCCGCGATCCGTTGGATACGCGCCAGGCCGATCAGGGATTGTGCTCGTCTGTTGGAGGTTCTCGGTCGGTGTGCACGTGTAGCGTGCAAGAAGCAGGGGACATGGCGTATCGTCGCTACACAGCCGAGCACAACTTTGCGAATCGGAATGACTCTGAAATCAGCATGTCCAAAGGCGACTCACTGGTCGTGCGCCCATTGGACACTGGTGACTGGCCAAACGAGCAAGACTGGATGATTGGTCGTAACGAGACCACGGGCGCGATGGGCAAGTTTCCCGGGAACTACACAAGCCTTCTGGGCGAGTTCAAGGATCAACCGCCGCGTCCCGCCAAGCCCACGCCACCGCCGCCCGCACAGCCCTCACAGCCGCGTCCGCCCAGGCCGGCGCCCGGGGACCGCTCCGTGTCCGACTCCACGGAGCACGGCAGCGGTGGCGGCAGCGCTCCCCCGCCGGTCGTGCCGCGCATCCAGCAGCGCACGTCTCGCCATAGCGACCCGGCACCCGTGCCGTACAGACCGCCGCCGGTGGGGCAGCGGCCAGGTGGCGGTGGCGAGGCGCCACCCATCACACGGCACACTAGCTCGTCGTCGTCGCCCGCGCAGCCGACCAGTCCCGGCGGCCATCAGCTTGTCAACGTCAACATCAACAAACCGTGCCAGTGTGTCCACTGTAAGTGTGGCATACATGTGTAGTCCTGCTCAATGAAATCCAGCCGCGTCGCTCAAGCTTGCGCTGCGCAGTGTTCGCAGGTCTAGGGCTGCACAACACCCGGCGCGTACTTGAGTGACGCGACTGGATTTCAATGAGCAACACTGACACTGTACATGTGGTTAGCGTGGTCACTGGGCCCGCTCAATGACTGACTGCCATGTCACACTGGCTGTAACGGTATTGCAGGACACCCAACACTGATTATGCCAAAAGCGGGATACCGACAACTAATTTTAATGAGTGCGGGCATAACTTCCGCCCATATTAGCATGAGAACGTAGCCACCTTTGTCCACGCTATAATGGCCAGCTCACAGCGTTACACCTTGACAGGGTATTCTGGCTACGGGTCTGGGCTGGGAGACGAACACACCAGACCAATTTTTTTCGGGGTGGGGGTGGGGGGGGGGGGGGGTAGATGGCGTACGTTCCCGGGCTGCTCGTAGGGTGATGTGCAGTTTCATTTTCGCAACACCGTAGCCCTTAGCGGATAATGCTCGAAAAGCAGTGAAGTTGGCAGAGCCATAAACAGCTTATGGCGGTCAATTCCTCAAATTTTGCTCCTCTTCGTCATCCATATAGCAAACATGCATAAAACATACCAGAACAAGTCACTCGGACCAAATTCTGCACATCTTAGGTGGCCCTGACTCTTGCGTATGGCGTAACCTAACCTGGGTAGGCATGCAGTATGTATGTATGTATAACCCATATCCATTCTGGTCGTAGGGACGTCGTGTGTGTCATAAGGCAGCAGCATAAAAAGTAAAAAATAAAAACCTAACTACACTGATATTAGCTGCCTATACCTATCACGATCAGCCGCAACGAGAGAGAGAGAGAATTGCAAGATTCTTTGGTCCAGTCTTTGATATTGGTGAACCAATTGTGGCGGGGCGACCACGGGGCCGCGATCCAGGCACCATTCCATCCAAGAAATAGTGGGAGTAGCTATCCTGCTGCCTTGCTACATGTAGCAAGGTACGCAGTAAGCAGGTGTTATTTCAGGATTCATTATTTGACATTGCCAAAGCTGTTCTTTGAACTTCTTTCTCATGCTAAGAGTGCATTATCGGTGGTATCTGTGCTTCTGTCCTTTCACTGCTTGCCTGCACTGGCTGCAGGTGAAGGATACATCTGGTCTAAGCTACCGGACAACCAGCCTAACGCGACGGTCTGCAGACGTAAGCATACTGGGCCCTCACCTTTTCCTTACACACCGGCACATACACACACCATTGACCATTGCACGCCCATCGCCAGAGGCGATGATAGCGATGCTACAGCAGAAGCCATAGCAACTTGTGCTGGGATTGCACCATTCAACAGCTTGCAAGGCTGAAGAATTGACCACCACTATTCAGCCTGGTCTACACCACACAGCTTAGAAGTGGCTTTTTTCTGGCCAGTGAATCCCTACTTTTTGGTCTTTTTTTCTTCTTTTTTCCCGCACACACATCACACCACATACTCCGGCATGCACTGGCTGTTGGTAACCACCCAGGAGAATGAAAGAAAAGTCAGGAAGAGTCTGAGAAAGAGAAGAAAGACGTGTGTGACCATAATCGTCGGGAATCGAACCCGCAACCTATCGATTGGAAATCGCTGCACATACCACTGCACCATATGGGACACACACACACACACACATACACACACACACACACACACACACACACACACACACACACACATGCAGTCACAAGACTGTCTTGTGACATACACACACACACACACACACACACACACACACACACACACAGACACACACACACACACACACACACACACACACACACACACACACACACACACACACACACACACTACTACTACTACTACTACTACTACTACTACTACTACTACTACTACTACTACTACTACTACTACTACTACTACTACTACTACTACTACTACTACTACTACTACTACTACTACCTAGTTGCTCCTCTATGGTCACGGCATGCGGAGTTGGCTATTTGGATGCGGACTGCATATGGACAGGTTGTGTGCTGGCAGCGGAACCTTTTTATGACCCCCTCGGGTTCCACTGGCAAGCGTTTCGTTAACATTATCGCGGACTTCATAAACACTTTTGCATCTGGTGGTCCAGCTGCCTGTGTCGCTTGGGAGTGTGTGGCGGTTGCCAGTCACCTCTTGCTGCAGCGACCTGAGCCGCACAGCAGAAGCAAGGAGAATACAGAGCATCTGCAGCGGCGCATGGACATGTGGGCTGCTGGTGACTTGCAGCCACTGTTGGAGGAGTCCCGTTGCGTCCAGGCTCACTTGCGTCCCCGCTCGGGGTCTGCTGGCGGTGGTGGAGACAGTGGGATGTCGGACACGGATTTTGCCAAGCTTGTGCACGGTGGTCGGCTGGGTCAGGCTCTGTCTGGTTTGTCAGAGGGGCGGTGTGGCAAACCTCTCCGGTCTGATGATATTGCGGTGCAATCCTCGGGTGAGACGGTCCGTGACGTGCTTCAGAAGAAGCACCCTGCTCCTGTGGATCCAGCCGAGGGAATATTGTTGGACTGTGAACCAGATCTGCCCAACCAGATTATGTTTGAAACGATTTCAGCAGAAAAAATCAAAAAGACAGCTGGCCGCATGAAGAGTTCTGGGTCGGGAGGTCCATCGGGACTGGACGTCGCTGCCTGGCAGAGAATGCTCACGGTGTTCAAGGGGGCATCGGCGAACCTTGCATCGGCGTTGGCTGCAGCAGCGAAGCGACTCTGCAGGGAGGTTGTCGATCCTCAGATTCTGTCAGCGTTCGTGGCAGCTCGCCTTGTTCCCTTGGAGAAGTCGGCTGGTGATGCTGCTGGCGCTACTTCCAGCATAGGTGTGAGACCGATAGCTGTTGGTGAAGTACACCGCCGTATTATCGCTAAAGCTATATTGGATTGCGTCTCCACTGATGTTGTTGCGGCTGTAGCCCCATTTCAGGTTTGTGTGGGCATGCCATCTGCGTGTGAGGCTGCGGTCCTTGCTGTGCAGAGCCAGTATTTGGATCCGGAAACAGAGGCTATTTTGTTCATAGATGCGTCTAATGCATTTAATGCTGTTAACAGACAGGCAGCGCTTCATAACGTTCCTCGAGTGTGTCCTGCCGTATCCACAATCTTCCAAAACACATATGGCGCTCCAATATCGTTGTTTCTGCCGGGTGGTGACAGGATCTTGTCTCGAGAGGGTACTTGCCAGGGCGATCCTTTGGCCATGGCACTGTTTGCGCTGGCTATTAGCCCTATGATCAGACGCCTGTCAAGTGACCACCCATCTATTGGCCAGTGCTGGTATGCGGATGACGGCGAGGCTGGTGGAAGGATGATGGACGTGCACAAGTTTTGGTTGGCTTTGTCTGACATTGGACCGGAGTATGGTTATTTCCCCAATGCCTCAAAGACGACACTCCTTGTCAAGCCGGATCTGGAGCGGGCGGCCGTTGACATGTTCGATGCCACTGGTATTGCAATACGAACTGGTGGAGCGAGGTACCTGGGAGGTGCTGTTGGCCAGTCGACGTTCATTGCTGATAATCTCGATAGCCACATTGCGAGTTGGGTGCGGGAGATGAGCCTCTTGGCTGACATCTCGCTTACACAGCCCCACGCCGCATATTCCGCATTTGTCCGTGGTATGAAGAGCAAGTGGAATTATCACATCCGAAGTCATCCAGGGTTGGCTTCTTCGTACAGACCACTGGATGATGTCATAAATAATAAATATATCCCTACGTTAACTGGCCGGACTGAGGTTTCTGATTCGGAGCGGAAGCTGCTGGCATTACCAGTGCGATATGGTGGCCTCGCTATTCCTGTGGTGTCGGAGGACGCAGAGGTGCAGCGCCGGATAAGTGAAGTTGTCACTGGGCCCGTCGTGCGAATGCTGCGGTCGGGGTCCAATGAGTTGACGCCGGCTCGGGTTGTCTCCGACACCAGCGTTCTCCGGAGACATCAAAACAATCAACGTGCTGCTATGCATAGGACCCAGCTGTCAGAGCTGGCCCCTGCCCTAAGTGGCCCTCAGCGTGTTCTGCTGGAAACCTCCAGAGATGCCGGTGTGGGAAGTTGGCTTACGGCGGAGCCGCTTGCCTCCTGTGGATTCGTCTTGAACAAGTCCGCCTTTCGTGATGCAGTGGCAATTCGTTACGGCTGGCCACTGGATGAATTACCATCATCCTGCGTATGTGGAGCGGCCATGACGCTCGATCACGCTGCGGTATGTCCAACAGGGGGCTACCCAAGTCTACGCCATAATGAGATTCGGGACCTGTTGGCGGAGGTGTTTTCGGCTGTCATTTCAGATGTAAGGATAGAGCCTACGTTGCTGCCTTTGACTGGTGAGTCATTGGATTGTGCCACTGCCAATCGTTCTCCTGAGGCTCGTTTGGACATTTGTGCAAGGGGCTTCTGGTCTCGACAGCAAGATGCATTTTTTGATGTGAGGGTCACCCACCCCTCGGCGTCCTTGCTGTCGAGATCGGATGTACTTGCCCAGTTGTCTCGTAACGAAGCACAGAAGAAACGGGCCTATCTACAACGTGTGATTGATGTTGAGCGAGGCACCTTCACACCTTTGGTTTTCGCGACCAATGGTATGTGCGCTTCCGAATGTTCCCGTGCTCTAAAGAACATTGTTCAGCTCATTGTCGAGAAGCAGCCGGAGCTTAGTTATGCAATGGTAATGTCGCATTTGCGCTGCAGGATCTCTTTTATTTTGCTCCGCTGGCTGATTACTTGCTTTCGTGGGTGCAGAGCTTCATACTGCCGAAAGCGTGTAGCAATTTCATTCCTGGACCAATGCCGTTTGCTCCAGTTGTGAGTGGGAATATAATTATAAGGCCCTCCATGTGCTGTGCGCGGAGGCCTTCGGTTAATTTCAATATCTTCCTTTTTGGCCGGCTTTCTAAGTTGCGCTATTGTGAATAATGATCTGCTTTGATAGTAGTGACTGCTAATAATTGCCTGGATTTGATTCGAGTTCGGATTTTTCTTCCATCATCTTTCCGATCACATTATCATGGATTTTCAATAAAGTTCTTTGACTACTACTACTACTACTACTACTACTACTACTACTACTACTACTACTGCTACTATCAATCAGCTACCCCTTGGGGTCACCCCTCACACACACACACACACACACACACACACACACACACACACACACACACACACACACACACACACACACACACACACACACACACACACACACACACACACACACACACACACACACACACACACACACACTCTGTACTGTACTGTACTGTATTGACAGCTACCCTAACGGGTCACGCCGCCCTCCACCCAAGCATGGGTATGATGAGGGGCAGTGGCAACAAAAACAAAAAACAGCAAGCAGAGAGAGATAGCAGGAGAAAGACAGCGATAGTAGTACATCTGGTGTGCGACGTATATAAAAGAGAGATGACAAGAGATACGCACAAAAAGGAAACAATTTGAACTTGTATTATTGCAGTTCCGAAATAATCAACCAGGTGATGGAGTGTGAGCACCCGAAGTCCCACCTGGACTCCACTGGAAGAACATTCCACGCAGGGATATCAGCGATAGGCCAAGCGTTGAAAAACAGCCATGAGGACACATCGTCTAGAAGTCCACCGCGCTCGAACTGAAATTGCAGGATCAAACAATTTCCCACTCGTCGTCAGGCAGCGTAACTCTTCTCCCCGCATCACCATCCATCTCCAGCAACCGTCTCCACTCACAGCTCATGCCTCTGCCACCACTGTACTCCGAGCTTCGCAGTTTGAAACCATTCGGGGGTCAGCTACACCACCGCGAATGGAGAGACGAGGACCACAACGGTCGTGACAGAAAAGACACTGCCCTGGCGACCGCGTCGCGGAACCCTCGCCCCAGCAAATTCAGAAACACACACACACACACACACACACACACACACACACACACACACACATACACACACACACACATACACACACCATTTTTGACCATTTTGACGCCCACCGCCAGAGGTGATGATAGCGATGCTACAGCAGAAGCCATAGCAGTTTGTGCTGAGATTGCACCATTCAACAGCTTGCAAGGCTGAAGAATTGACCGCCACTATTCAGCCTGGTCTACACCACACAGCTATGAAGTGGCTCTTTCTGGCCAGAGAATCCCTACTTTTTGGTCTGTTTCATTTTTTTTCACGCACACACATCACCCCACATACTCCGGCATGCACTGGCTGTTGGTAACCATCCACTGGAGAATGAAAGAAAAGTCAGGAAGAGTCTGAGACAGAGAAGAAAGACGTGTGTGACCATAATACACACACACACACACCTCACCTTACCTCAGACTGCCCCCCCCCCCCACACACACCACACACACACACACACACACACACACACACACACACACACACACACACACACACCTCACCTCAGACTGCCCCCCCCCCCCACACACACACCACACACACACACATCACCCCTCCCCTCCCCTCACACACATGCATATACAGACACACATACTAGTACAAATACATGCACTCCACTCTCCCCCCCCCCCCCTCCGTGCCTCGCCGTCTTTACTGTTGGGGGAGCTTTCAGTGAGATCAGTGTATTCATTGTCACTGTGCATGGTACTTGTACCAACATATAAACCGCTTTACAAACGGTTATACATCACAGTTCAACTTTGCCGGTGCTCGACGGCAATACTCCTACCGTATGTGACTGTTTTTGCTCGTTCTCTGGGTATATTTGCCAACCCAACCCAGCGCCTCTTCCTTCGTCTTCTTTCTTCTTCCTCCTCCTCCTCCTCCTCCTCCTCCTCCTCCTCCCCCACCGGCCCCTCTACTAGCCAAACATCAGTGCTAGCACTTGGTATAACCATGATTAACTTGATAACAAGTACTGTATAACACCTTTATTTCGGTGTAATTTAAATTTCGGTAACTTCGGTACTGGTCCTGGATCACCTAATTTAACATTACACCTAAATTTTCCGAAATACCAAAAATATGTAAAAATCATGAAAATCACTGTCAAATTAAAAAAATCAACTTGTATACTGGTATACCGGTAGTGCATTGTACATACATAACATGTACCGGTATACATATGTGGAGCCCTTTGGCCTTGCTTGGCGGAGATATTACTTATTAGTGCAAGAGCTTTTTTTTTTTTTTTTTTTTTTTTTTTTTTTTTTTTTTTTGGTGCCATGCACGCCGAATTTATCCTTACACCGAAAGGTCAGGGGTTGGCTTTTACCGAAATTTTACAACACCGAAAATAAGGTGATATACAGTATGTGGTTGTTGCAGAGCAAAAACCCCGTCGTATCTGCCAGGCAATGTACACATACACACGCATGCACACAATTTTAAAAGTACTTACATGTTATGCTTCCAATGACATGTATCTTGCTGGGTGCTTGGAGCATGCATGTACTCAAGTAATGTTAACTGCGCGTTGCCGTGTGTTGCCTCTGAACATGCACAGGATGCGGTGTCATCGCCCACAGTGATACCTGCAGCAACGTGTTTCAGGCCGACTGCGCCGGTGCACGCCGGGCAGACTCTGGTCCAGTCAGAGTTGGCAGTCGGGTGAGTCACGGGCACTGTCTCATCATGGCATCAATACACCGCGTACTAATCCGTTATGTCCAGCTGGCCTGATTAAGCCACATACATTTTATTTTTTACAAAGTAGCCACAAACCATCATGGTGCAAACACCAGCAAAAACGCACAGGGAAACACACAGGGATGGCAGCCGAAGCAGTGGAGGCGGCATGTATGCAATATAGCCATACCGGTATTACATACTCCGCCCGGGGGGCGCGTGAGTAGCTGTTACTGGGCAGTGCCATATGAAATATCGGGGGGGGGGGGGGGGGGTCGGAAGGTATTTCAGGATGATGCGGTCAACCATTATGTGTGTGTGTGTGTATGTGCGCACGTGTGTGTATGCGTGTTTGTGCACATGTACGTATCTACTCAATCCTGCAGTGGCTTGAAGATGTTCTTGCGGATGAGCGCATGGTACGTATCATAATTGTCTATACCGTAAAAAAAAACTGTAAAAATGTGCCAGTATGTTATCACTGCCAGTATGTGCTAACTTTCAGTGCAAGTACAGTAAACCACCTGTCAAGGCGACCACTCGGATAAGGTGACCACTCGGATAAGGTGGCCACCTGTCCTAGAAGACCGCTGACACCAGGACTAAGGGATGCTAGTTCCAGTCAAAGGACCCTGGATAAGGAGACCACCTGGTAACAGAGACCACGTTTCGAAGGTCCCCTGAGCGGTCGTCTTAGACAGCTGTTTCACTATACATGTTCGTCTCCCGTACTTATTCTTGTGTACTGTACTAACTTTCGGGGTGAGCACTCCTTCAGCTACGTTTTGTCGGTGGTCAGGACAAGTGTGCACTGCAGTGCTTACCCGGCACACAGTCATCCAGGCTCCGGACATGTGCTGAACTACATCGCAGCATACTGCTACGTTGTATTGCATGGGAGTTCCCATTCGGGAGGTGTCTATATGTATATAATGCAACCCAACAGTACGCTTGTACGTGAAATATAAACCGACATACAAACCGAGGCGAAGCCCAGGTTTGTATGATGGTTTATATTTCACGTACAAGCGTACTAGTGGGATGTATTATACTTATGCTGACCTTCATACAAACTGACAGTCAACTTCTTCCTGTTTCTATGGTGGCGGTCTATATGGGGTTTGTATGGGGTTTGTATGAGGTATGAGGTTTATATGCCCAGTATAAGCCGCCAGCATGATGGGCAAGTTGACTGGAAGTTTGTATGAAAGGTCAGCATAAATTCGGGTACAAACTGGGACGGTGTAGGCTCAAGAATTTGGAAAAAAGGTTATATTTTCTGGCATGTACTTGTCAGGTTCGATTTTTTTGGGGGAGGGATCTTCTTCAGAGAACTGTTGTGTGATTGCTCTTGTCCCTTGACACCAAAGATGAAGTGTATGTGCTTATAACTAAAAGCTATTTGCGCAGTCACTGGGGTGGGTGTGTATTGTGGGCCTTCTGACATACATCTATTTAATCATAAACGGGTTGCCAGAGTGCCGTAAAGGTAGCGCTAACAGTGTTTCATCGATGGTGCTTACTAGCCCCATGAAAGCCGCTCAGTTCGAGATTGTAGGCCTGAAGTGAACTGAAGCTGCCAGTTTCAGTCTTTACGTACGTGTACCAGCTCATGCATACACACATGCAGTACACTGTGAGCGTTGGCATTTGTATGTTTTCTACGTTGCTATATGCGTTACATTGTGGCATGTCTGTTCTCGGTGTTTGTTGCCCGTTTCCAGTCGCCAAACCTCTGGAATGTCCAGGATGTGCTGGTCTGGCTGTTTGCATGCAACCTGGACCAGTATGCGCCCATGTTTGACAGCAATCTCATCGATGGCGCTAAGCTGCTTCGACTGGTGGATGCTGATCTGCAGGTACAGGGACACACTGTTGGAAGCCTGGAGCGCTTGTCGGGCTAGTTTTAACTGTGCGCATTTGGTATTTTGTGGATGCTACCTTGAACCTGTTTTGCAATGAGGTGACGTCCCTGAATACTACATTGGCTGTCCTGTATCCATTCATACTCACACAGTGTGCCATACACAGAACACTTTGGGCCTTGCGCTTGGCTACTGTTCATAGGCAACACACTAGCTTCTTCATGACATTGTGTCATCCCCGCCTCAGACTAATCAGCACCACAGCACTCTTGGCTGAATAGGTACTGTGTGCTATCGTTGTCATTTCAAATGCCGTGCTGTTGTTTCCTGCCATGCTACCACTACCACCACCACCACAGGGCCTGGGAGTGCTGACACGCGATCACCGCGACGCCATTCTGGAGTGCATACGAGAGCTGTTCTACCAGCAATCCACACCGGTTAGGTCATGTGCACGTGCATTGCCCCACTATTCCATGGACCCGACTGACCTGTGGGAGCTTTCAAACAATTCCATGCAAACACACTGTCATGCCAGATGCGGCATGTTACCCTGTTCATATCCACCTTGCCATGGTTCTTTCATTGTGCCTGCCCACTGTATAACATGTTATTCTTGGTGTGACTTTAATTTTAGTAGTTTTGTTAGAGAAATCAGGCACTTATACTTAGATCACACCCACTGTAACTAAAAGGCACTCACGTATGCAATCTATGTGAACGGAACGCCAGTCACCTAATGCTAAGTTACACATGTGAAGCTCGCCAGGTCCCTGACACCGAGATCTTATCACGTTGTTGTCCTCTGTGTGCCATGCGGTGTTCAGAGTCCAGAGCCGCTGATGCCAACCAGCGGTGCGAGAAATGTCCCGGACGGCCGCTTCAGGCGAACACTCAAGAAAGGTGAAGTGATGTGACACTGTGTTGTGTTGTGTTGTGTTGTCAAACCAAAGTGCAGAGAAAGGTGTCAAGGTCATAATATTTCGACACGGACATGGCAGTTTACCAAAATTGAGCTGTGAAAGAAAAACTACTTCAAGAAGTATCTCTTTGAAAGAAATAAAGGAAGGAGGGGGGTGTGTGACTGCCGTAATTGAGATCTTCCCGATCACGGTGGTCATGTGGCCTCAAGGCATGATACCGGCTGGTCACTGGTGTCCTGTGAACATTTGGCATTTGAATGTTTCTTGTGATGCTCCTTGTGGCAAGCGTGCATTGCCACTGCACTCTTGGCAGAGTTGATAAGGTAGTTAAGAGGGGAAAATAGCGCTACGGATCACTGCAGTGCTCAACTCCTCTGTCTCATAGTTGATGTGTGTTTTGACCCGATTTCACCGTGTTCCTGTTTGGCAGGGATTGATACGCGTGTCAACAATCACGACTTCCGCTCGCACTCGTTTTTGCCGCCGAGCTGGTGTGACAAGTGTGGCAAGATGCTGTGGGGTTTCTGCAAGCAAGGAGTCAAATGTTCAAGTACGTAGTAACAACACACTGTGCACACACCTGAATATCCGTGTGTGTGTGTGTGTGTGTGTGTGTGTGCGCGCGTGTGTATGTGTGTGTGTGTGTGTGTGCATGCGCGCGTGTGTGCGTGCGTGTGCATGTACTTGGCTGTGTGTGTATGTGTGCGTGTCTGTCTGTTTGTGTCTGCATATGCGTATGCATATGGCAAAGAGCGTTAATTGAGACGATATGTATAGGATATTGACCAAGACGAGGTCTATATGGGAAATATAGGCCGAGTAAAAGACCGAGGTCCGCCGAGGTCTTTTACGAGGCCTATATTTCCCATATAGACCGAAGTCGAGGTCAATATCCTATTTATCACGATTCCTTTGCCATAACCCCAAAATTTGAACCTTTAGGAGCTATTTTAACCTTTTTAGTATAGCATTTGTACTATAGTGTACATAGGATGTTGCCTATTTTGGGTACAAGACTGTAAGAACAACAGGGTTCAGCATCTGCAGCACAGTGGCTGGGTGGTATAAGGGGTTGCTTGAGATTCATACTGTTGTGAGTTCAAACCTGCTTGTTCTCTTCCTTTGTCTTCTTTCTTTCAATTTTTCTTTTTGAAGTGGAGAGAAAAATTCCAAGTTCCTCCAAAGTCGAAAGATTACCCCTATATATATTATGCCTAAGTGGTCGATACAAGCGGTCGATATAAGCGGTCGATATTGCGGCGATATGGGTAATATAGGACCAGTCAAGGATCACGAGAATTAGTTGAGGTCGATATAGAAGAGTGATAAAGAAGAATATCACTGCTAGAGTTACAAAGACAGGTGTGCCAAGCATTTAAACCGTCCTGCCTGCTGATACTGTACTCCAATGTCTGCTGTTTGTTGCACCATTTAGAATGTCAAGCAGCGTGTCATCGGCACTGCGTGACCAGTGAGCTACCTATGTGTGAACCAGGAATGTTCCGCCGCCGACCCGCGTCATCTCGTAAGCACACCTGTGTGTGTGTGTGTGTGTGTGTGTGTGTGTGTGTGTGTGTGTGTATGTGTGTGTGTGCCGCACAAGTCATGCGCTTTTTTGTGGTTCAAGTGTTGGAAGGATGCAGACAAGCCAGGTGGAATCCATGTGCCACGCAAAACTAAGTAGTGCGATTCAACAGTTCCTGACTTCAAGAAAGCAGCAGGTTTCTGCTCGATTCCTTCTGGAAGTTATTTTGTGTAGTGCATGGGAGTTTGTTTGCTCTTACCGCATTGAGTGACACAGCTGTGACTGTCTCCTGGTGGATTTCAGTGTGGGCCAGGAGAGGGGGGGGGGGGGGCTCGCTGAGATGAAAGGTGTTGGTTTGATTAGAATCAGCAGGAACTGTACGGCTTGAAAGGACTGGAGGAACTGTGCATGTATGTATGACACAGCGTTGTCTGTGAGGTGCAGGATGTTCACCCATGTCCGGCAAGCAGTTAGAGAGAGTGAGAGAGATGGACAGATACCTATTTCTACATACTGTACACACACACCAGAAAGCCTACCCTAGTTGCATGCATGCCGGCAGTTGCAGCGACTAGCAGTGATTGCGAGAACGCCATGGCTCATACACTACCTGCAAGCTATCAGCCAGGCCAGTTTGACACAGTGTCACACCATTATTTTTATTGTCTGACCGTCGTCCACTCAAGTGATTGTGTTGTGTGCGTACTGCTTGGTGTGCTGCTGTTTATGTGTATATTTATGTGTGTGTGTGTGTGTGTGTGTGTCACGGTGTGTGTGTGTGTGTGTGTGTGTGTGTGTGTGTGTGTGTGTGTGTATGCTCCTGCCATTACCAGTTGCAGTTGGTATGACGCCACAGTTTGGCAGTGATCTTGAGCACTTGTTCGACCCGTCCGAGAAGCCTGCTCCACCCGTCGTGATGAAGTGCATTGAGGCAGTGGACGCACGAGGTTTGTACTGCTGCACACTGAATGCATGTGGTTCCTTGAATTTCTAAAATTCTAAAACAACGCTGGAGCAATCTTCATTTACTTTCAGTCTTTGAATGCAAAGGTAGCAGTACTGTTTGCCCTTCTTGTTACTTTTTAAAGTTCTTCTACTTCTATCAAGCCTATGAAATACATGCACGCGCACATTACGTCATTATTACTCACTCATATTTCTATAGGGCGGTCGCCACATTGCATGGATATGTAAGTCAATGTACAGTTGTGGCAAGTGAAATCCGACACTTGGCATAAGGGACTGCACCGTGCATCCTGCAGCCTCTGCAGCCCTGCATACGTACAGTACATGTGCTGCATACAACTTACTTTATCTGTCTGATGACATGACAGTACTCATCACAGTCAAGGTTCAAAAGGTGCTGGCAAAAATGAATGGGAATTGGATACCAATACTCCTTATGTGTACTTTGTTTGTGAACTGTGTGTATCTAAGCTGTGACCTTTCGACCTGTTTGGGATGCATACGGCTCTATAGTACAAATTAGGTGCAGTGCATTACATCATTGATGTCCATTTGAGGCGCTGTCCCCTATGGCAAGTGTCGGATTTCACTTGCCACAACTGTACATGTATGCCGTAGACCTACTGTAGAATGCACAGCAATGCAGAGCTGTGTGTGTGTGTGTTGCCGGAGGGACGGACGAGTATTTGCCCAAATGTAGGATCAAATGAATGCAAATTACTCTAGTACACATTTGGGTGTCACCCGGGCTGATGATGTGCAGTGCCTATGTTAGTTGATCACTCTAAAGCTCTGTATGTGATCTTGTGTCTTCGCTCATTCATGCAGGTCTCCAGTCTGAGGGGATCTACCGCGTGCCCGGGATAAAGAGCGAGAAACAATCTCTGAAAGAGGAGCTGAACAGAGGTACAATGATTGCATGTAGGGTTGAGGGTTTCGCAGGCAACTTGATATCTCGAGAACATAGAACGTGTTCCACATTCTCCACAGTGCACATCTTTAACAGCAGATGCTTCTTACTACACTCATATCTCTCTTATCCGGGCGGTCCGGGGACCGGGCACTTTTCCATATAAGTACCGCCAATCACGTGCATTTAAGGACATGTTCTTATTTTCGCTTATACGAACATGCACTTATATGTGAATGAAAATCACAAAACCACACGAGGTTCATCATGGTTACATTGTACTTGCATTAACCAATAATATGCGTACTTGCACATGTACATGTCGATGCGATGTTTGTCTCTCGCATATAAGACCATGGTCTTATCATCGCACGAAAATGCACTTGTGAAAGGACCGAAACTTTTTGGAAAATACGAAAACTCTGTGTACATGTACTGTATTGGTCTGTTATGCTACCAGCCTGCCACCATTGACTGCTCTTAGCACCTCAATGCTACCAGCCTGCCACTCAGTATTGACTGCTCTTAGCACCTCAATGCTACCAGCCTGGCAGTATTGACTGCTCTTAGCACCTCAATGCTACCAGCCTGCCACCATTGACTGCTCTTAGCACCTCAATGCTACCAGCCTGCCACCATTGACTGCTCTTAGCACCTCACTGCAACGGCATGGCTGTAGCCATGTCCTCTCCTTACCAAGCGGTCATGGTGTTTGGTGGTCAATCTTGGTCTCTGACGTGCATGTGCCTACGGTATCTCTTTGGATGCACTGCTTTTTGGCTTTCGTTGCATGCAGATCCAGATAAAGTCGATATCAACGACAAGCGATGGGCGGATATCAACTGTTGGGCGGGCAACATCCCCGTCTTCTTCGGCTCGCTGCCGAGGCCGCTCATTGTGTCCGAAAGCTACAATTCATTCTTGGAGGCTCGAGGTAAGGACGCTGGCAGAGTATGCGTCTGCCATTCCATTCGAAGATGCCGAGACCTCTGGTTGGTTGAGCATGGCAGACCCGGCCATACAGTGTACATTCCTTTCAGTCAGTCAGAGCAGGTGAACCACAGTGATGATGTGTCCTATGCCAGTGTCAGTGTCTAACTGTCTTGTGTTTTGATCACTGTAGGAGATGCCAACCAGCTGATGGAGCTTGTACAGGATCTTCCCGATCACAACCGCATCACACTCTACACGCTGATGCAGCACTTGCAGAGGTGAGCCGTACAGTTTCTTGCTATAGCCCACTGCCAGGTCCGTATTACACTGGAAACTGGCCAGATCGTGGCAGTGTTGCCACACGTATGGGGTGTGGGGAGTAGACTCAATGCAGTGTGGAGGAGGCCCAAGGTGGGGCGTGGGGACTAGACTCGATGCAGTGTGGAGGAGGCCCAAGGTGGGGTGTGGGGAGTAGACTCGATGCAGTGTGGAGTAGACTCAATGCAGTGTGGAGTAGACTCAATGCAGTGTGGAGGAGGCCCAAGGGGAGTAGACTCAATGCAGTGTGGAGGAGTAGACTCAATGCAGTGTGGAGGAGGCCCAAGGGGAGTAGACTCAATGCAGTGTGGAGGAGGCCCAAGGGGAGTAGACTCAATGCAGTGTGGAGGAGGCCCAAGGGGAGTAGACTCAATGCAGTGTGGAGGAGTAGACTCAATGCAGTGTGGAGGAGGCCCAAGGTCTGCAGTGCTGTTGTTCCATTGTGATGACATAGTGTGTGTGAGTACATGTACTCCGAGTCACAACGGACACATGCTTGTCTTTGTCATAGCTGTACACTCACTGTCCAGATTGGGCTGCAGACCTGGAGCACTGCAAATAAGTGACGGACAGCGGGCTCCACACCTTTGTCTTGATATTACTTGGGCATTTTCCTCAGTGTCTTCTCTCCCACTAGTCAACGCAGCCTTGCTACAATGGTACAGTTTCTTGCTGTCCGGTGTGTTGTTATGTGTAGGGTGGCACGCAACCAGCATGTTTAACAAGATGTCGCCGTACGCCATTGCCGTGTCCCTGGCTCGGCATTGCTGTGGCCTCCGGGACGTGACTTGCAGTAAGTAACAGTCACGACTGGATCGTTGTGTGATGGTCTCAGTGAGTACAGGGTTTGTATGGATCGTTGTGATGGTCTGAGTACAGTTTTATCCTTTCGGTTGTGTACTCTGAGTCTGTGCCACGGCACTGCTCACAGTAATGAGGCCAACCTGTTGGGAATGAGTGTAAATTGTCATGTGTCAACACTACTGGGCACATCGTAATAGTTTTCACTTCTCCTGTAGTGTGTAAGACATGATTCCCTTGACAGTCACAGCTAGGGTGGGTATTGTGCAT